ATTCATTCCTCAATGGCTCCAAACTACTAGATTGATGTTAGAAGACATAAAAGGGACCAAGATTCAAATGAAGGTCAACAAGAAAAATCAATTGCAAGATCAAACCAACATCAATAGTGTTTTAGAGTAAAAATTGTCAAATCTTTTGTAGCACACTTATGAGTTACATTGTTAAATTTGCTCAAGTGTGATTTTTGGTGAGTGCTTAATTTGTGCAAACACATTTGCCTTTGTGAGGTTTTTCTTTTGTTTGCTAAATTTGTAATTTCTCTTCGGGAGAGTATGTATTCAAGGTTTTGGGGTATAAACCTTGAAGTGTTTGTAAGGTTACACCTTATTCTCAAAGGTTTGAAAATATAGTGGATTTGAGAAATCCTTAGTGTAGATAGCTAAGGTAGTGGATGTAGACTTGATTTAGAAGTTAACCCACTTTAAATTATTGTGCAAAGTTTTTATTTTTGATTGTTTCTACCACAAAATTTTTTAAAGACAAATTCACCCCTATTGGCGGTTTTCGATTGATCGATAAAGCTAACAATTAGTATCAGAGAGTGTTACAATCGATGATTTAACAAGCTTGTGAAGATCCTAGAAGAGCTCTATCAACTTCTACAATAAACTGATAAAGATAACATCGACTTTTGGCAGATATTGTCTTGAGGATTCGCACTTCATCAATAGGCCACCCTACTTCAATTAGCAAATTATTTCTATTGAAAAAATAGGATAATGTTGTTCATACAAAACACCAACCTTGAATTTTTGGATGCCATCGTTGACGGTTCTCCCGTTCCTCTAAGGAATCGAAAGGATTGGACAAGTGAAGATATGATGCTTACCCAACTCAATGTCAAAGCCATGCACATCCTTTTTTGTGCTATTGGCCTGGAAGAATATAGTAGAGTATCTTTTTTCTCTAATGCTAAGGAGATTTGGGACAAGTTGGAGGTGACCCATGAAGGGACAAATTCAAGTGAAGAAGTCAAAGATTGACATTCTCACTCTCAAATACGAGAACTTCAATATGAAGCCCAATGAAGACATTAAGATGATGTTCGATCGGTTCACCACTATCATAAATGACTTGAAGAACTTGGGAAGATTTATCCCAATGAAGGGATTGTGAGAAAAATGCTTACCTCATTGCCTACAACTTGGGAAGGCAAAGAAAATGCCATCAAAGAAGCCAAGGACTTGGAGTTATACACCCTCTATGAGCTTATTGGCTTATTACTCACTCATGAAGTAAAACTTCAAAGGAAGAAGGAAGAAAAGAACAAGAAAAAGAAGGAGGTGGGAATCGCCTTCAAATCCACCAATGATAACAATCAAGACTCAAGCGAAGAGGTGGATGAAGATGAAGAGATGGCTAATATCTTCGAAAGATTCATAAAATTCATGTCTTCCAAAAGAAAAGAAGTGAAGCATGAATCAAATAAGAACAAAGGTCCCGCAGTGTGCTATGATGCCAAAGAACGGGACATGTAAAAAATGAATGTTATTTTCTAAAGAAGAAGCGATAAAGTAAGAAGAAGACTTTTGTGGCTACATAGAGTGATGAAGATGTCACCAATGATAAAAATGAAGAAGTAGTCAACCTTTGCCTCATTGATTTCCAAGAATATTCAATGGTGTCCTCTAACTCATCTAATTCAAATTCATATACATTTGATGAGTTACAATATGCCTATAATGAATTAGTGTCAAAATGTGATCATGATTTCCAAATACAAAAAATTCATTCAAAAATAAAAAGTGAAAATTAATCACTTTCTAAGACTAATAGTGAACTTAAAAGCAAAGTAAAAGATTTGCAAGAAAAATTAAATATTTTTGAGAAAAATAATTTAGACTTGCAAAATTTGCTTTCCAATGTTCATGAAGATTATCAAAGGAGAATTGATGGTCTTGATAAAGAAAATGCTAATTTTGACAAAATCATTACAAATAAATTTGAAAGAAGAGATTACTACAAATCAAATCTTGTCAAAAATATATTTTACAATAGAAATGATTATTCCCCTAAATATTTTAAAGGAAAAATGGTTAAAAGTATATGGGTCCTTAAAGGACTCATCGCTACTAAAGATAAGGATACCCTATCTCTATGGATACCTAAGGAGACTAAATTGCTTGAAACTAATATTAACGGACCCAAAAAGATTTGGTTACCAAAAGTTGCATAATTGTCTATTGTAGCTGTGTTGGAGCAATGGTGAACAATGTTCATGGTATTTAGAGTCTCTACACACGCTAAGAAATGACACTTGAAGAAAGGAAAATTTGAAAAATCAATCTTAATTCAAGTGGTAAAATGTTTTAATTTCATGCATTTTTATGCTTTTATGTGATTAAATATGTTTTTGTGCTTGATTGTGTATCCCCAAAATATTACTTAATTGTAATTAGTTATGGAGAGTTAATATTGCATGAATTATATCTTTGTGGCATTGTATGCTTAATTTGATATTCTTTGGTCTTAATTAATATTTGTGGTATGTTTTGGACCTTGTTTGTTCTAACTAGAAAATTCTTTAAAAAGTCCATAATATACACTGTAGTAAAGTACCTAGGAAAACACTTTAATTTAGTATCAATTTATAATTTTTAATGCTTAAATAAGTTTCTAGTGTATTCTATAGTCTTATAATCATTAGGTATTTATTCTAGAAGCTTTTAAAGGTTAAAAATGTCAAATTTGATATTTTCAAGCATTTGGTTTCGAGATCAACTCATTCGTGTTAAGATTGATATTCCAGTAGTTAAAATGGTATTGATACCGACCATTTAGTATAGATATTGAGCAACAAGTCTCAAGACCTCCAGTCTAGGTATCGAGATCGATAACTCTGTACACGCTTAAAACCCACATTTTTATCTAAATATTCAAACCCTAAATCAATATCCCTCTCTAAAATCTATCTTTTCCACTCAAAATCACTACAAATTCGTGCCTAAATTTTCACTCCATCATCATCTAGAGTGGATTAGCATCATCATTCAAAAATTTGAGGTAGTCAATTTTAATCCCAATTTTTTTCAAAATTTATGTTTAAAATTGATTTTAATTCATGTTTTAAGTTCTTTTTTTACTCTAGAAATGATTTAAAAGTTGTTTGAACAAATATAATTTGCTTTAACAACTTGTTTCAATCAAAAAAATTCAAAACTTTTCATTATAAGGGTTTCAATTTTTTTTTGAAATATGCAAAATTTGTCAAAATTGTTGCAATTGGGTTATTTATTGGAAATATATTTGCTTGTTTTTCTTACAGGAGGTCAAACCTTCTTCATTATTAGCCTAGAATCTTTATTTAGGTTTGTTCTCTAAGTGTTAGACAAAATTACTAAACGTCCTATTCATTTTTCTTTATCAAAAATGCCTTCTAGAACTTCAAACAAACGTCCTAGGATTAGTAGGACTATTCTCGAAGGTTAATCCTCTAATTCCACAAGCATTGAAAATGCTTGCTTTACGAATCCCAATGCTCTCGGTATATTCACTCGCTTTTACAAGACTAAACCTATCCGTTTTGGGAGTACCATAGACCCTAATTTTCTTATGTCATGGGAGTATCAATTTCCTATCTTTGAAATCTTTTTTTTGGGGTTTGTTAGAGTTGTTTAGCATTCCTCCCAATGTTCATCCAAACCTTGTTCGTGCTTTCTTATCTAATGCTATTCTTGTCCATGCCGAAGGTAACAAGAATAGAGTTACTGGAATCGAGTCATATCTCATGGGCAAAACTTTCACTCTTAGTCCATCCTTTATTGCTTCTTACTTAAATAAGGTTGATAATGATAATGATCCTTTCAAAGAAAATTCATGCCTTTAAATGAAGTGATTCCCAAATGATAGCCCTACCTTTCTCGATTTTCTTGACCATTTATTATTGCTCCTCATTACTTGGTTCTTTCGTCCTTCCGGTGATAAGGATACACATATGCACTCTTGCGACTATTGGTGGTTTTATTATATTAAGAACAACATGCTACAAGAAATTTAGATTGTTTCAACAAAATTATTTATCACTAAATGAACTAAATTTGTCACGATTTATTCATTCTAACCAATTTTATTTGTTACCATGTTTTTTAGAACAACCTTGTCATGTAAAGTATATTGTGACAAAATTGTGTTTGTTACCATAGTATAGTATTTATTGTGATAATGAAATTTCGCTACTATAATTAACTTATCACAATAAAATATTTTTCACAATCAATTAACCATTTCGTCACGAGAAGTACATTTTGTCATAACTAATTTATATTTAAACATCAAATATAAAAGATTTTTGTGACAAAAATACATAAGGCAACAAAAATTATTTTGTCGCAGTTGATATTTTTTCACTAAATGTAACTTACAGAGACAAAATATTTGTTAAAATAAAATAATTATTTTATCATAAAAAGTAAATTTTGTCACAGTTAAGTTATATTATAACAAAAAAAGGTTTTCGTGATAATAAGACATATTACAACAAAATTTATTTTCTCACTACTTTTATTTCGACACTAAATATTTTTTATAATTTTTTACTGAGACTAAATAATTTTGTTACAATTTGTTATTGTGAAAGAATATTATTTGTCAAAATTTTTTATAATGAGAAATTAATATTTGTTATAAATTGTTATTTTGATTAAATAAAATTTTCGCACTTTTTTATTTTGACAAAATATTGGCACGAAATAAATATGACATAATTGTTTACTTTTACTAAATTTAATGTGTTATTGTGATTAAGTCATTTTGTTGCAATGTTTTATTGTGAAAGAATATTACTTGTCACAATTTTTCTGATGATAAATTAATATTTGTTATAAATTATTATTTTGATTAAATAAAATTTTCAGAATTTTTTATTTTGACAAAATATTGTGACAAAATAAATTTGACATAAATTTTTATTTTGACAGATTCACTACCCTGTTCACAAAGTCTACAAGTAGGATTCACCGTTCAACCGTGGAGTAGACAGTTCTCTACCGCCATGGATTATCCAATGAAGATTATGGTGTGGGTGAGGCTACCAGGTTTACCCTATCACTATTATACACGTAGTCTCTTTGGACATATTACAGGAGCTATTGGTAAAGTGGTAAGGGTAGACTATAATACGGAAGATGGGAAGAGAGGTCACTTTGCACGACTTGCGGTTGTTGATGACTTAGACAAACCACTGATCTCTGGAATAGTGATAGACAGTCATCGACAGTTAATCGAATATGAAGGATTACCAACTATTTGTTATTCTTGTGGGAAGTATGGGCATACACATGAACACTGTGGTAAAGTAGCTAATGTTAATAATGGTGAAGCACATGAAGCACAAAATATTGGGAAATCTGATGATTTGTATGGTTCTTGGATGCATGTGATGAATAGGAGAAGAAAGAACACTGGGTCAAAAAGATTGCAAGCTCGGATACAGGGAGACAAAACACTGCTCATATTTCGGGTTCTCGCTTTGAGGCCCTTCAGGCAATTCAAGTCGATGATAACCCAGGAAGTAACCCGATACAAAAGCCATCTATGATGGGGACTAATAATAAGGGAGCAATGTCTTTTTCTGGTCATTTGAATTCCAAGGCGAGTGGTAGTGCTGAATCTAGCAAGCAAGGGGAAGCAAGACAAGTTTCAAAAGATTCTATTGAACCAAAAAGAAGTGATGTAGTAGGTCCACAACGAACGAACAACAATATTGGTGTGGCTTCAATAGGTAAGATTACAAGTGTTGTTTCATCTTTGAATAAAGACAAACATGTGGCTATACATGTGACGGAATATGATGAGAACTTAGCTCCACAAGAGCGTAACTTAGACATTTTTCAACGAACTGCTCGAGGGACCAGTACAAAAGCTCAAAATAAAGGGCTTGCTGCCGTTAAAGGTTTATCTCGCAAGGGGTTGAAGACAAGGAAAAAAGATGAGAAAATGCCGAGCAAACCAGTGTTAGCTGAGTGGATTTTGGCTATGAATTCTGAATTTAACCGAGCAAGTATTACTTTGGAGAATCCATCCACAGAAATCCAAGGTGCCAAGGATGCTGACAGTGATATGGTTCATGGAGTGCAAACGCTATGTTTGAACATTTGGAGAAAGCAGATATGCAAGTCTAATCATTCGTGTCATCTTCTATCCTCTTTTCTTATAGTTAAGATTATTTTTTAGAATGTTTAGGGAGCTCAGGACCCTGATTTCGATAGAAATTTTAAGTTATTGATGAAGTCTAAAAGACTGTATGTTGTTGTTATTTTGGAACCAAGAATTAGTGGTATGGCTGCTGATCAGTTTATCAGGAATTTCGGTTTTGAGTTCTCTTATCGTATTAAAGCTTTGGGGTTTTCTGGTAGAATTTGGATACTTTGGAGGAATTCTTTTCATATTACTATCTTGGTTGTTTCTAGACAATATATTCATGCAGCGTGTTCTATGATGGGTGGAGGTCAGCATTGCTTTATTATTTTTGTCTATGATAGCCCTGTGATTGGAATTAGAAGCAAGTTGTGGAGGTATTTGAGAGAATTGGAACCAAGTTTGGGGTTGCCATGGATGCTTGGTGGGGATTTTAATGTCATTGGTAATTACGGTGAACGACAAGGTGGCTCTCAATGTCTACATGGAGTTTGCTTAAAATTCGGTGATTTTATGTTTGATACATGATTGATCGATATGGGGTTTTCGGGTCCAAAGTTCACTTGGAAACGTGGAACCCTTTCCCAACGGCTGGATAAGTGTATTTGTAATGTTGAGTGGTATGATTATTTTGAAAATTCAGATGTCTTTCATCTCCAAAAATTGGGTTCGGATCATCGACCCATTCTCCTTAAGTTTGGGGACCAGCAAGAGACTTCTCATAATCGACCTTTTCGATACATTGATGCTTGGAGTGATAATCCAGATTTCCCAAATTTACTGATGAATTCTTGGAGAAATTATAGAGATATTTATGATAATATAATTAACTTCCAAGCTAAGAGTACCAAGTGGAATAAGGAGGTGTTTGGGCATATTGGGAGGCTTAAGAATTTGTTGCTTGCTGGAATCCATGAAATTGAAAAAACGGTGGATAATTCGAATGAACCTTTTTTATTGGAACTAGAGATGAAGCTTAAAAAGGAGTTGAACGTAGTTCTCGCTCAAGAAGAGAGCTTGTGGAGCCAAAAAGCTCGAAATACTTGGATCACAAATAGGGATAGAAATACCTCATTTTTCACACGTCTACCATTAATCATCGGAAGCACAACACGATTAGTATGTTGAAGTTGCCTGATGGTTCTTGGTGTAGTGATCATGCATATCTCAAAGCTCATACAGTTACTTTTTTCCAAAATCTATTTATGAGCGAGCGAAGGGTGTCTAATACGGAAATTGGGAGCTGCAATTTCTTTCGTTATGGGGATGATGCTCTTCAACCATTGTTGAGTGATATTTCATTGGAAGAGGTTAGAAATGTTATCTTTAGTATGGCTCCCTTAAAAGCCCCGGGCGCGGATGGCATCCATGCAAAGTTTTTTCAAGAAAAATTGGAACACGATTGGTCAGTCGGTTTTCCAATTTATCAATCACTTTTTTAATGATGGCTATCTAGCCGATTGGGTGAATCAGACTCTGTTGGTGTTGATCCCGAAGGTTAATAATCCCGTCTCAATTGCTCAGTTCAGACCTATTAGTTTGTGTAATGTTCTTTATAAGACTATCACTAAACTGATTATATGTCGTTTGAAACCGTTTCTTCCTAAATGGGTGGAAGAAAATCAAGCTAGTTTTGTTCCAGGCCATCAGATTATAGATAATATTATTCTTGCCCAAGAGGTTATTCATTCGATGACAAAGAAGACAGGTAGAATATGATGGATGACAATCAAGGTGGATTTGGAAAAGGCTTATGATCGCCTGGAATGGAACTATATCGAGAGCACTCTTCATGCAGTTGGCTTACCGGAGTTACTCATTTCTCGTATCATGTGTTGTGTTAGATCCGTGTCGATACAGATTCTCTGGAATGGGGATCTTACGGATTCCTTTAAGCCTACGAGAGGTATTCGACAGGGTGATCCATTATCTCCTTATTTATTTGTCTTATGTATGGAGAGATTATCTCAAGCTATAAAAGCGAAAGTAGTTTCGGAAGACTGGAAGGAGATTCATCTCTCAAAAGAGGGCTCTGGGTTATCCCATCTCTTCTTCGCAGACGATTTAGTGTTGTTTGCTAAAGCGTCGATGGATCACGTTTCGATGATCAAGGGTGTTCTGGATAGATTTTGTGATGAATCAGGACACCGCATTAGCTCAGCTAAAACTCAGATTTTCTTTTCAAGTAATTATCCAGTAAACACTCGACTGGCTATTTCTCAAAGGTTAGGTTTTGAGGAGGTCAAGGATCTTGGCAAGTATCTGGGTGTCCCGTTACTCCATAATAAATTCACTAAAGCCACATACTCTTATCTCATTGATAGATTGAATCAACGTCTTTCAGGTTGGGTGGAAAAGTTTCTTACCTTAGCATGTCGTATAACAATTGCTAAGGCTACTCTTCAGGCTATCCCGGTCTATGTGATGCAATCAACTTGGCTATGAAAGGTTTGTGTGTTGAAATAGAAAGATTATTAGAAGATTTATTTGGGGCTCGAATCATGGTGGTACTGGTATTCCCCTGGTTAAATGGGAATCTATTCAACATCCAACAAAATTTATAGGTGTGGGTATTCAGAACCTACATAATCAAAATAAGGCCTTATTGATGAAGGTGGGTTTTCAATTGATATCCAATCTGGAGAAACTTTGGGTCTATAACATCCGCAATACCAGGTTAGTGACCAAATTGTAAAGTTTCAGAATTTGGTGACTAAAGTATAAGAATGAAATAGTTCAATGATTATTGAATATATATGATGAAGGTTATTTAGTAATTATTAAAAGAAGTTAAGGGTTAAATGGTCATTTGACCAGAAAGATTTTTTTTATCTTTCTTTTAAAGGTGATATAAACGTGGGAAATGAGAAACATCCAGAGTTCTCTTCTCCTTTCTTCTTCTTCATACGTGGGAGAGCCAAGCTAAAGGTGAGTTTTCTTGTGGATCAAATTCTTGATGAATTTAAGGTTGCTTATTGATCCTTAGATAATAACTAAGCTTAAGGAAAGCTTAGATTATCTTAAAACCATAAGATGAGGAGTATATGAAGAATTAAAGAAAGGAAGTAGAAAAGTGAAATCTTGAAGTAGAGTTCATTTCTTAAATTGGAAGTTAAATTTGACTTGTCAATGGTTAAATTAAGAGATTTGGAGTGATAGAATTGGATTTAGAACATATAGAAAATTTGGTATGATTCTTGAATCTCATAAGGAAGATAGGATTTTGAGGTTAAAGATGATTTACATGGATATAAGTTGGTTCAAGTAATGGTAGTTGAGTTTAATGTCATAAGAGGGGCTTAAAATAGAAGAATTAAGGGAAGAGTTGATGATTTACGTGCTAAAATGTCAGTTCTGGGCAATGTGCATCGATGCATATTCATTGTGCACCGATGCATCGATGATAAATCCCAGAAATTGTTTAAGGTGTATCGATGCACATGCAGTGCATCGATGCATTAATTTAAAAAGAAAACATCGAATAGGATTTATGCATCGATGCATAAGGAGTGCATCGATGCATCCCCATTAAATACAAACATCGAATAGGATTTATGCATCGATGCATGGTGTAGTGCATCGATGCATACCTTCATTAAAAGATAAAAATGACTCTTCTTTTAGCCCAAGAAATGATAGTTTAGAATATATTAATTAGTATATTGATTAGTATCAATGAATTATTATGTAGATACAGAGCCTAAACAAGTTCCGGAACTTATCAAGTAAGATCGATCAAGGAAAGATAACAGATCGATATTGACTAGTGAGGCCAGGTGAGTGCAATTTAATTGTACTTATGTTATCGAATAAACATTGGCTTGTGATGAGCCAGTGATGGAGTTACTATGGTAAGAAGTGACTCCTAAAATGTTATTTGATTTGTGAATGATATGCTTATGTGTGTATGAGTACATGATTACATGTATATGTGATATGTGATATTGAACTATATGAAATTATAATATATGAGAATACATGCCTATGTGACAAGCTATGTGAAACTGAATTAAGTAGATACATGAGAATATGACATGAGATAGATAATATGAGTTATGTGATCATATTAGAAAATATGTTAAGTGATATGTGAAAGTGGATTACATGTTTATGTGAATATGTGATACGATATGAGATTCATAAATATATGTTTATGAGATATATGTTTACACATACATAGGGTATGTGACAGAAGAGAAGGAACATGAGATTATAAGATCAATGATTACACGTATATGTGATACGTGACAGAAAAGAAGAGATATGTGTATATAAGAGAAATGATATGATATAAGTTATGTGATTACATGTATGTATTAATACATCTTGCTTGCATTACATGTTAGTGTGATTGTGAATAGGTAGGAAGGAAACAAATAATGATATAAGAATCTATTATAAAATATATGATATGAAATACATGGTTACACATACATGTGGTATGTGACAGAAGAGAAAGAACAAGTGATGATAAATGTATTCATAATGACAATGCCCATGTTATGAGTTATGAGAACTGTAGGTATAGTTGGCATGCCAAGAGTTAAAGAACTACCTATGTCTTTCGAGACATATGGACAGTATACCTATATTCTAAGGAACATATGGATAGTTTACCTAGGTTCTTAGGGACCTATGAACAGTTACTGAGGATCTTTATTACCTCTGGATAGTTACCGAGGATCTTTATGACCTCTGGATAGGTCCTGCGGGACATTGATCGAGCTGTGGTGACAGCATATGTGTGCACAACCTCAATGTACTCACATACCTTAAGTTCTCAATAGTGTACATGGGTTAATAAAGAGATTAAACAAATATACTAAATGTGATATGTATATGTGACTTGTTATATGGAATAGATTATAGGATTTACATAATGGTGTATTGCTTGGTTAATGCATGATATGGTAAAGACAAATGTTTATATAAGAGTGTTAAATTATAAAGATTAATGATAGTGAATGAGAAATGTTAAACGCGTTGATAATGATATATGTGCATGTGTGTACATGTTGCAGAAATTATATATATGTTCTTTCTTTTATATGATATGATTGTAATACTAATTGCTCATGCATTTGATATGAATTATAGTTGTATTATATGTTTTATATGCCTCACTAAGTCAACGACTTAGCGTGTGATTGTTTCACACGTAGGTTACAGAAGTGAGAAGAGTAAAGAGCAACGTGGAGCAAGACAGGTCAGTTCTTCTTACCAAAAGTCAGATCGAAGAAATAAATAATATGTATTTGAATACATAAAGTTCTAGTTGGCATGTATTCAAGATAATATTGTATAAGCTCTGAATAGTTGATAAAGGTTTGAATAAGTTATATGTAATAATAAGTTTTAAATTACTCACTATTTTATACAAGTAAAGGTTTTTGAAAAGTCCATGTGGCACTTCGGACTCAGATCCGGGTCGGATACGGGTTGGGGGTGTTACAGGGTCTGTACTATTCGTGGGAAGCATAAATGGGACAGTCTTGTTCCAATCTCATTAAGTCATGCTAATGGCTCCC